AGACAGCCGGGTGGCCGGAGCCGTGTGTGGTGGCACTTAGCCGTGTGTGGTGAGATGGGCGGTGAGAGAGAGAGAGAGAGAGAGAGAGAGAGAGAGAGTGTGTGTGTGTGTGTGTGTGTGTGAGGAATTTGTGTAGGGTTTTAGAATTACCTTGAATGCCTTGTGTAGCCATGTATTTATAGTCTCTTTGTGTGCTAGGGTTTTGAGAGAATAATCCTTATTTGGTTAGGATTATTCTTTCCCAAAAAGATGGTAGGAATTACTCCAAGAGATTTGGTGGAAATTAGTTTCTTGATTTAGGGAGATATTCCTATCTTAAATCAAAGATAATTTTCCTAATTAAATAGAATTTAATTAGGGTAATTAGATGACTTAAGGAATATTCTTTTTCCACGTGTCTCGTCTCCGTATTGGCCGGTGAAATATGTGTTCCCACAGATTGTATTAACCTTTTTTTTTCTTCTCTTGTTATTGAACAAACTGTTAGATTTCTATATTGTCCATGATCTTTCACACAATCTGAAATACATAGAAGATATACCTGGCGCCATCTTCCTTGAGTACACAATCATGGAACTCATTCAATCGCAGCAGAAACATGAGCAAAAGGCACAAACGACTTAAGACTTCTGCTCTCTCTCATAAACTGCTCTCTCTTTGTGATGAGATTAGGGTTAGAGAACGTGTCTGATGAGAGAAGGGTCTTAAGTTTATATAGGGTTAGGTCAAGTTGTCTCTACTCATCACCAAAGGCCCATCAAGCAATGATTCACACAGAGGAAATAAATAGGACCCAAACAGAAGCATGTAAAAAATTTCAGAAAATGAGACAATGCATTGCAGATATGAGAAACATACGGTTATCGGTTCTATGAATTAATGGAAGTAAATGATACCTTGAAGAACCAAGCAGTTGCCCTTATTCTGATCAAGTAAGACAACCTGAAAACAGCATACATTTCCCAAGAAATCTGGGTAGCATTTGCACCGGGACATTACAAATAGAGAGAATGTGCTCTTTCACATTCCTGCCCTTGTTTCCATTTGGATACAAAACCAGTTTCCTGTAGCAAAGCAACAATTAAGATTAAGGATTATGGGAAAAGACCGAGATGTAAGAAGTTTGTCTAGGAAGGAAATAAGAGAACAAATTCTAACAAGATAAGTATCAAGGAGCTTACTTTTATTAAAGCGAAAGTAATTCCGGAGCTAACTTGATGCCATGAAAACATTCTCCAAGTTGAGATGCTGATCGCATACGTCAAGACCCTTATAAATATGGGGTTTAAACGCATAATAAAGACACAAAACCTCTACACATTTCAAACATATATGTTCAAAGATTACGCAGATTTCAAGCACACTTAAAACAAAGGGTAAGATTAACTCGAAAATATCGCGCAAACATCCTTTTTGGCACTATCGTTTCTACAATCTACACACATATGAAGCTATATTATATATTGAATAGTTAATATGTACATATACATATGTTTCAATTAGTTGTATATCCCCCGCCCCACTCACTCCATCTCTTGTTTTGTGTTGTGGTTTTTCCTCCTCTGTTTCAATTAGTCAATAGTCTTCTTCAAGCAAAGGGTCGCTGTTTATCCTCAGAAAAATTTGTTGGTCAATTTTATTGCCATGCCTGACCTTATATTTGACCAAGATGGTAAGCCACCTTCTCTGTCTCTCTATATTTTGTGTTTTTAGTCTAAACGCTATGTTATAGAAATTTTACGATTTTTTTTTTCCAGGACTTTCGAGATCAACTTCAAATTCACCACCGACTCATTACACTCTAACAATAGAGTCATTTTCGATGCTAACTGAAAATTCAGTGGATACATATGAGTCTGGGGAGTTTGATGCTGGAGGATACAAATGGTAAATCGTGTTTTCTTAATTATTTTCTTCCTTTTTACTTTTTGCGTTGTGTGGATATATGGTATATAATACATAATATACCTTGTATATACATAAAGCTTCCGTTAAGCTTATTTTGAAAAATTCCTCTTGTGGGTTTCACTCGCATTGTATTTCAATAATCTCATTTGAATCCAAAGAGTGCTAGTGTTTGGACTTTGCTTTTAATTTTTCTGTTGTACCATAGTGCCAGGTGTAGTTTGGACTGGTCGCCAATGGAAGAGGGGGTGAAAAGTGGAGGGAGGAGGTTGAGGAGAACGTGTAGTAAATTTTTTTTGAAAGGAAACGTGTTTTAATTTTAAAATACAATAAAACTTGTAACTCAAATTTAATGACATGACGTGTCCAACTTAGCTGCCACATTGGTACAGGATTGTGGTATAAAAACAAAATTATGGTAAGAGTAGCATTATTGTTTTTTTCAATGTTTGTTCACTGCAGGAAACTGGTGGTGTACCCAAATGGAAACACGAAGAAGAATGTAGAAGACCACATCTCTGTCTACTTAAAAATGGCAGAAGCAAATTCACTTCAGACTGGTTGGGAAGTATCTGTTGATTTTAGATTGTTTTTGCTTGATCAGAATAAGGGAATCTACTTGGTTGTTCAGGGTATATATTCATTATGCATCTTCTATCTGTTTGGAGTTAATATTCTCATGCATCCATCCAGCAGAAATAGACAGACCAGTTCTTCTTGTGTTGCTCTTGCATTGCTCATGATCTTTAAATTTTTCTTGCTTATCAGATGCTAATATGAACAAGATGTGCTTGCACGGGGCGATGCTCCAAGTGGGTTTCGATAGAGTTATCCCTCTGAAAGCATTTTCTGTTGCTTCCAATGGCTATCTCATTGATGATACTTGTGTTTTGGGAGCCGAGGTCTTCGTTTGCAAAGAAAGAAGAGCGGGCAAGGCAGAGTGTCTGTCAAGGATCAACAATGCTTTTATGAACAAGCATTGTTGGAAGATTGAGAGTTTTTCAATGTTAAAATCCCAATGCTTGCAATCAGAACTATTCACTGCAGGAGGGCAGAAATGGTAGGTATCGCTGATGATATTAATTAAGCCTTCTTAATTATTAATCTAATTAAACTTGTTGTTTAATTAGTTCCTCTGTTTTAATTAATTTGTTGCAGGAAGATAGACCTCTATCCCAAGGGAACTGACGATGGAAAGAATACTCATGTTTCTGTTTACTTAAGATTAGCTACTCCAGAAAAGCTATCTCCTGGCTCCCAATTACTTACAGAGTATACTCTGCGCATCGTAGATCAATTGGACGGCAAGGATAAGAGTCGGAAATGTAAAACATGTGGCCTAATATATATTTCCTCTTTTACTTTTGTTTTTTTTTTCCTCTTTCTTTTTAATTTTCTTCTCAATCCTGACTAGTCTCTTTTTTCTTTGTTTCTTTTTTCATTTCGTGTGCTTGCAGCGAATCATACATGGTTCAGTGCCTCGAATTCGTGTTGGGGTTGGCCTTGTTTCATTAAATTGGGCAGTTTCAAAATGTTAGACAACGGTTATTTGGTGAAGAATACTTGCTTGGTGGAGGCCGAGGTCACTGTCCATGGAATTGCTAAAGCATTAGAGCCAACTGACTAAAATACACCTGGTATGTAAGATCTGGAGATTGGAAGAGGGTATTGTAATGAGGGGCTCTGTTGTGAATTATGTAGGTTGTACTGCAAATTAGTAAAATACGAAGATACTCAGGACTTGTACAAAAGAATGATTGTAATAAAAATTATTTATTTATTTTTAAAAAAAGAAGTTTGCATTTTGTTATTGAATAAAAAAAGGGCTAATTGATGATTTGCCCCTGATTTTGTAGGTAATTTTAATTTACCCATTTACTTTTTTTAAAAGAAAATTAAGGACCCCAATTAACTTTTATTGTCAATATCTCCCACCGTCAATTTTTCTGTTTGCCCTTGCCATTGTTTGCCTAAACAATAGCTTCTGTGTTTTCCAGCACATTCGGACCTAGGATCGGTCCAGTATTTGGAATAGATAAATGTGGAGGACTCAGATCGAGAGCTCCTATGCCATTGGTATGGCCTTTTGATACCAACTTGACGTTCCCACAAGCATTCCAAAGGGCTATGAGGTCAGGTTGGTCCTCTTTGGACTACCTTTCTCTCATATTGGGGAAGCTATTGCGCGAACGGAATCTTCCTCTAGGCTCTGGATAGCCTTGGTGTTATTGTCCATCTTCTCTAACATTTTGACCATTAGTTGTTCCATTAGAGTCAGTTCAGGCTGCATTGCTTGAACATCCTTATCTTCAATTTCCACAGCATCAACATTGCTTTCATGAGGAGGGTTCCATTGGAGTAGGAGAAGTATATCCCAGATAGATTTTCCTACAAGTTTTACTGACCATACAAGTGATCTCATCGGGCGTGCCAAAAATATGTTCGTCATGTTTTGAACACTGTGATGCCCCTGGCCGCTAACAGGCTATACTTTGGTAACAGGATGTTACTTGTTGGTGAAGGAAGTGAAATGAGAGAGATCCGGGCCTTGACAGAAACAAAGACCTCAGCTCCAAACACACAAGTGTCATTAATGAGATAACCATTGGAACCATCCCCAAATGATTCAAAAGGGATAAATTGATCGAAACCCATACAAAGCATCTTCCCATGAAAACACTTTACTTTTTTATTGGCATCTAATTTAAGCAACATGAGAGTTTAAGAGGATCAGCAAATGAGCAATGCGTTTGAAAAATATTTTAAAAAAAATGAAAATAGTTGTTGCCTATCTGCTGGAGGATGAGAATTAGATAATACCTTCAAGAACCAAGAAGAGGCCGTTATTCTGATCAAGCAAAAACAACCTGAAAAAAGCATTAACTTCCCAACCAGCTTGGAGTGAGTTTGATCCAGAGATTTTCAAGTAGAGAGAGATGTGGTCCACCACATTCTTCTTCAATTTTCCATTTGGATACAGCCTCAATCTCCTGTGAGCAATCACACAATAGTCTCATACATGTAGTAATATAATAACAAATTTTCATCAACACATGTATATTAATTAATCAGCGGATATGAGACTAAGGATCTACCATTTGTATCCTCCAGCTTCGAATTCCCCTGACTCAATACTCTTAAGATTATTTTTGGTAAGCGACGAAAATGACTGTATTTTCATAGTGTAATGAGTTGGAGGTGAATCTGAAAATGACCTCAAAATCCCTGAAACCAAATAATTAATGAGTAGCGTTTACACTAAGACACGGTCAACACCAGAAGGCATAGAGATAGAAGCATTAGTATGCTGAAATCTTAATGAGGAGCGTTTACACTAAGACACGGTCACAGAAGCACAGAATGCTGTTGAGACAGAGAAATTATCTTACCATCTTGGTCCATGTTAGAAGTAGCCATGGCAGTAAACTTGACCAACAAACTACTTTTTTAAGATAAACGGCGATACTTTGCTTCAAATTAAAGGCTGCCCTTGTTGACAAACTGAAGCAGAGGAAGGAACAAGAGATATAGAGTGAGCTGATTGCCAATATATTTTCATTAGAAAACGAGCATAATGATCAAAGCATGCAGCAATTAGCTTCATGCACATTAAACGAGGTATTTCTATTGGTCTCTCTGTCTCTGTATAATACATTCATTGGTTGGTTGTGCAATCAATCTCTTCGTTTTCCAATTTTATTAGGACAAACGAAATAATGTCATATTGAAATATGTAAGACTGCATGTATTGTAGAAACCGAGAAAGACAGAGAGAGGTTCGTTCATTCAAAAAATGTAACCCTAATTTCAAGTTTCCTTTTCCTCTTTTTTCAAATATTTAATTAAATAAACGGATTTTCCATATTATTTTTCATCAAAATATAATTCCTGGAATGAGTAGAATTGGAAAATGAAAAGATTGTGCTTGCACAAATGATAAAACTTTCATTTGCAGGTAAAAACTATAACAGCTCCAACAACAACAAAAATGAAAAAACTAACTGCATCAAAACACAACCGCACACATGAAGCACGTGTTGTGCAAAAACACTCTAAGACCTTATCGTTGATGGACTACGCAACTAAACTATTTTCGGATAATTGGTGTCTTCCCGCCCATGAAGAACACATTACACACATTAATACCAAACAATTTTTTAACAAAATAGCCTTCAACTGACATTGAAATAAGCAAATATGTGAGACCCATGCCTACCATGCAAGCAATTAATGGAAATTTTGATGTTGAAGTTAACGCTTAGGGTATGTAATCGTTAAAATTGAGAGTGCAGGGGCAAACGTGCCTTAAAGGTAAGAGTTCATGGTACTAAATTGAAAATAACCCTTTTTTAAAATATCAAATTGGTTCAAGCTAAAAAAATTAAATTAAATTAAATTAAATTTTTTCGAGTCCAAATAGGTTTCCCTTGTTTGTTTTCTCTTAGGAGCGGTGACAGATTCTGGTGTCTCGGAGATTGTGACTTTTGGAGGATTGCTCTGGTGCTGAGGTGTTTCTGGTTATTGGGGAGCTTCTCTTATTGGCGGATGATTGGGTCTCTATGTGCAACAGTGATGTCCCGTGTGGTGGGTGTGTATTCACTCTTTTGTGCCCTTGATGGTGTGGTCTCCGTCTTCTTGGTGCTGACGATGGCTTTGTGTTGTATTTGTTTTGATTTTGTGACGGGGAAAATTGTTTTACTATGTACCAGTACAATGTGCTGGTTTAGTCTAACTTTTATGTTCTTGTGTGCTTGTACTAGCTGTTTGTTTCCTTCCCTTTCTTGGGATATTAATGAACTCGGATTGATTACAACCAAAAAAAAAAAAAAATCACATCCGGCTGCATCTCGACATCTGATCTCCACTACTATCCTTTTTGTAGTTTTTAAGCCAAATTTTGTCGTTACTGGCTTCATTCACCACAGTAATGGATTTTCTTCGTAAGTGTGGTATTTCTTTTGGTTTGTGAATAGGGGGTCACCCTTTTTTTGGTTACTCGTAGAGACTCTTTGGGTTTTTCTATGTAGTTTTCACCTTTCCTTTGTGCAAGAGCTTTTCACCTCTCCTTTTATGAGAGCTTTCCACTTTTCTTTTGTGAGAGTTTTATTTGTGTTGTTTTCTGACTTGGTTTTTTCAACCTTTATCTCTTTTTGATTATTCTGAGTTTGCAATCTTAGTTGAGATGCCTTTATTAGAGTTTCTTCGATCATGCGTGATCGTTAGTGGAGGCGCACCAGATTGTCTTAATTTTGATGTTAGATTTTTCTGTTATTATAATAGCCCTTTGTGGTTAGTTTGTATTCGCCCATTGTGGCTAGTGGCTTTTTTTGGCTGAATTAAGAATTTCAAATGAGGATTATTAAATCATGTTGTGTTGTCAATATTAAACTGCATTGATATTTTTTGGACACACGTTACGATAATACCATGTGGCATGAAGTTCTTTAGCTGACTATAGTGCTTTAGCAATTCCAAGGACAGTGACCTCTGCCTCGACTAAGCAAGTATCCTTCACCAAAAAACCCATGTCTAACTGTTTGAAATCGCCCAATGTAATGAAATGATACCAACCCCTAGACGGAGTCGAGGCTCTGAACCATTTACTAGCTGCAAGCACACAAAAGAAAAAAAAAAAGAAAAAAAAAAAAAAGGACTAATCAGGATTGAGAAGAAAATTGAAAAGAATGAGGAAGTATAAATTAGGCCACATGTTATTACCTTTACCATAAAAATGCTTGCCATTCAATTGATCTACGATGCGCAGAGTATAATTTGCAAGTAATTTGGAGCCAGGAGATAGCGTTTCTGGATTAGCCAATGTTAAGAAAATAGAAACATGAGTATCCTTTGCATTGCGAATTTCCCTTGGGACAAAGGTAAAAATATATATTATTCATATATATGCTGAAAATCAATAAGAAGAAAATAAATTACCTTCAACACAAGGTATATATAATTAACTAGCAGATGAGAAAAACGATTATTTACCATTTGTATCCTCCAGCATCAAACACCGCTGATGTTATTGAATGCTTCTTTAGCAACGAAAACGCCTCTATGCTCTATTTTTAGAGTGTAATGAGTTGGCGGTGAAACTGAAAATGGTCTTCAAACCCCTGCAATGCAACAATTAAACATTAATTAATTAATGGCAACAACAGTAGAAGGTATACGTATATAGTGATATATATATATATATATGTACGCACTGGTGTACCCATGAATTTTTCAGGGGAGGGGCAACATTTAAAAGCCTAAAAGTATGTGAGGGAAATCCAAGTGCAAGGAGTCCATAAACCCATCTACATTAGTAAACAAGGAAAAGAGAAACTTTGAATAAATAAACTTGAAATCTGCATAAAACAAAATTAAATTATAAATTAAGAAACTAAGAAAGGACATATGCTAAATAAGGGGATTAAAGATCATGGATATTTATTAAATAGAGATACACCATTAAGGGAATTTTGGGAGACAACAAGTTGATTCGAAGTAGAAATCAAATTGAATATTACAAAGTCTCTTTCAGACATTTAATCGAACACATGGTGGGCACTAGCAGAGGGGCAAATCCAGCCACCCCAAAAGATTTTCCGGCGAGGGAAGGTGCAGCTGCACCTCCTTGCTCATGATGTACGTGTAGACACGCATGCGTGCATTAGAGTGCATCTATCCTTAGTTCCTTTCCTTGCATCCATGTTCGAATTTCTCTCCTCGTAAATTATATTAATTTAGAATAATTTAGACTATAGCATAGTGTATTAAACACAAAAAACAAAAAATTAATATAGAACTTCGTTTTAAGGCTTGACTAGTTTCTTCAACACAAGTCGAACACAATTGCAAAGGTCGACAGAGACAAAAAGAAGTATAATTTACATACCATCATGTTGGCCAAACTTAAGACTAGCCATGCATGGCCAAAACTTCCTTCTGTCGATACTACAAGTTGATGCCAAAATTTTGATAAAGGGTGCGTCATCGACCAGTTCCTCCTGAGTTGAGTCGGTGAAGAAAAGGGTTTCAGCGATGATTAGAAAGAAGTAGGGGTGGTTGCGGTTCGGTAACCGCGAATTTTTGTCCAAACCGCAAACCGACTGACTATTTGCGGTATGGTGATTTTTGAAACCGCAAACCGACCGCGTTTTGCGGTTTAAAACCGCAAGTTCTTTTTGTGTCATAAAAATCCAACTTCTCAAGCATATATAAATTATCGGTGAAGAAAAGGGTTTCAGCGATGATTAGAAAGAAGTAGGGGTGGTTGCGGTTCGGTAACCGCGAATTTTTGTCCAAACCGCAAACCGACCGACTATTTGCGGTAAGGTGATTTTTGAAACCGCAAACCGACCGCATTTTGCGGTTTAAAACCGCAAGTTCTTTTTGTGTCATAAAAATCCAACTTCTCAAGCATATATAAATTCACAATCTCCTCAACTTCTCAAGCATTCACAACCTAAAGAAAATTAAAGTTCAATTCCAAGCATTCCAATTAAAGTTAAACTTCTCAAGCATTCCAATTCCAAATTCTTTAAAGTTACAAACCAAAAGGAAAATGCAATGCAAAATGAATTAAAGTTAAAACCCAAAAGAAAATCCAATTCAAAGTTAATTAAAGTTACAAACTAAAAGGAAAATGCAATGCACCAATGTTACAAACTAAAGTTACAAACTAAAGTGTTGGTGGTGGTGAGTGGATTTGAAGAACCCCGCTGTATTGTTTGAGCACCAATGCTATCTACAAATAAAATAACATAAGTTTAGTACATTTTATTATAAAAAGAAGCATAAATAACATGAGCATAAATAATGGGTGTGAATAGAAAATATTGTATGAAATATATTTTACATATAATATAATATAGACAATATTATTTAAAATATATTTGTGGTTTGCGGTAACCACAAGTTTTGAAAATCAAATACCGCAACCGCAACCACAAATGCGGTTCGGTTCTAAATACCGCAAATGCGGTTCGGTTTACCGCGATTGCGGTTTCATTGCGGTAAATTATCGGTTGGTTTTTGCGGTTTTTCGGTTTTTCGGTATAAAATGCCACCCCTAGAAAGAAGTGATGGAGGGTGGCCTTAAAGTTATATTATATTGGAGGAGTAGTGTTGAAGTGAGTCTCCTAATTAATCAAGGAGATTTATTTCCTTAATTAATTAAGGGATTTACTTTCCTATTTGATATAGTTGTCAAATCATTGTATAATTAGGAGATACTTTCCTAATCCTTTACTGGATCTAATTCCTTGTAAAGCACTCATGTAAACTCTTATATATACCTCCTTATGGAGAAGAATACAAGAACCTAACATATTCAAAACCATATTCATATTTTAGCAAGTAGACATGTTTTCCGATAGGAAGTTTACATATACACAAACATATTCAAGATTCCTCGTATGATAATATCT